ATTAATAATGCTGAAAAGAGTATTACTGCACGATTTTGTTGAATAGATTTGAGTGGTTCAACATTTCGGGTCGCAATCTATTGACTAGGGAAAAAGTGGGTCCCGAGGCCTGACCAGTTGAGAACCACTGCTCTAAGGCATACAGATGTTATCAATGTTAGCTGCACAGTGTAATTTAAGCATTAATTAAACAGAGTTAGTGTTCAGTCTTTATGAATGGTGCAAATGTGTTGGAGCAGAGAGACACATTTTTGCGATATGTTAAAAATAGGAAAAATATAACATCGGGTCTGATTTATTCTTGAAATAAGATTCCATATTTAGGTGTTTCTTTATTTCAGACACTTCTGTTCTCTCTGTTCTCATTCTCCCACAGTGTTGACCTTATTAAGCCTGATCTGGTGTTATGGTTCCTCAGTATGCACACTGACACATCAGCTTCAAATACTCACATTTCTGCCGCTGTTTGAACTCTGCTGGTTTAACTTCCTCTATTGAAGTGTTTCTTCTCATGGTTTTTGCTTTGCTTTCTCAAATGATATCAGGTTTCAGTCGTGAAGAAGTACTCAGATCTTTGAGAAGAAGTGCATGTAGAAATCCTGAATTCAAAACTTTTTTCAGATACAAGAACAACATAAAAACATCAAAGTAGGAAAAATACTCAACATGCAGAATACCATTTCAGAATGATATTATATTATATTGCTGTATTATAGTTATTAAAGCATTCATGTGTTCATTAGTTTAATTGTTGCAACAGCTACATGTGGAGCTCATTTACCTTATGTATGTACTGCCGGGTAGTTTAATTAATTAAAGACACTATTTTGTATTTATTTATATTTTGTATAAATAATCTTTATCTGCAAACTAAATGTGTCAGACAAATGTTGGAAAAAGTACATTTCCTATTTTCTGTTCAGTTAATAATTTTGTAGCCATTGACGTGTGCTTATTTATCTTAATTGTATTACTAACTAATAACACATTTTTCTATATATTTAATATGTTTATTATTTATCTTTTTATTGTCTGCTTTCAGAATCTGATCAGGATTTCAGAATCCGATCAGGATGAAGTATAGTTGCTTTAAATGGAGCTACTTAAGTATCTGAACATTTTACTTAAGTGCAGTACTTATGTACATGAAGTTACTTTCAGCTCACTGTCAGCTTTAATGGTCAAACTCATCTTTGTGCTGGTTAGCCTTCTGTAGCTTAGCACAAAGACAGGAAGCAGAAGCAAACTGCTAGCTTTGCTTCATGAAAAACCAATGTTTTTGCTTCCTTATTGCATGTGTTTATGTGTGTGTGTTTGAATTTGTTTCAGAGATGTATGGCAGCGAGGACGGGTCGGTTCCGGCCACCTTCGAGATCCTCTACATGATCGGTTGGAAGCCTCACGAGTCTCAGGTAAATCAGGTGTTCACAAGAGGAACACAAACACAGTGCTCCTAAAGGTTGTTGTTTATAGTTTATTTGTCTTTATTCGTGATGCACCAGTCTGATAGAAAGTATTGGTATCGGTCGGACGCTGGCCAAAATCACTGGGCTTTGTCATTGAGGTATATGCTACATTGAGTTATATGTAATATTTTACACTGGAATTATAATTGATTTTTTATACTAAATACTCTAAACTTTGGCACATGGTTGCAGTTTAAATGTATTTTTGACTTCTTAAATGGTGCTATAAAAGGAAGCAGAAAAATGCCATTTTAGTTTTGTGTTTTTGTACTACAATTCCCAGAGTTCAACTGTCTTTATCAAACTGTCTGTGCATCATATTGATATTTCTTCAAATGTTTATTGACTCGTATATACGCCAAATACTTGTTTTCTGTTTATTCCAAATAACCAAAAATGTATGCAGCTTTAACAGAAACAATCACTGCTGTATCTTATCCATCAGATGCATGAGCAGAGCAGATACAGTATGTTATCAAGAAAAGTGATTTAATTGTTTACATCTTGTTTGTTTCTCTTTTTCAGGCCAAACCAGCAAAGCGAGGCTCGGCCAACGTGTCGTTTGCGGATCTGTCGCAGATCGGCCAGCCACCCAACACCAACAAGTTCTAGAAGCTTCTGAGCTAATAAACAACTGCAGAGTGTAAATAATATATTTTATTTAAACAACTGTGTTTAGTTGCTAGGGTGGGCGATGTGTTGTGCTATAATTGTCTGGAATAAAGAACAGCATTTCCTCACGCAGGAAAATGTACTTTGAGAAAACCAGAAGCAGTGACGCGTTGATGTTTTAAATACCAGTTCACGTAATGAGATAAGACCTTTATCAATCAATCAATAAGAGTGGGGGAGGGTAGAGCAGATAGGAGTTCACGCAGGGATAAGAATACAAATGATAAGATACCAAATTTCCTTTTTATCTTTGTGTTTTTGGTGCATACATAAAATAAAACAAAAGTCTAAACACGGATAAAAAAAACTATCTTAAGGAAACTATAATAACATAAAAAATATAGCAATATTTACATCGAATATGGTTGAAATATACAGTATGTATACCCGTAGAAATAAAATAGGAATAATACAGTATATCAGAGTATCTAAGGAATGTGCTACATGGTTAAGCTGTACTGTAAAAACAAGTATACAGTATAATAATATTCAATGGTTAGACTAACTGTAGATCTAATTTCAGTCAAATTGAGTGAAAGAGAAATGGAGTAAATCACTTTGTTAAATATTTCAGCAGCAGATGTCCTTTCTCACAGTGACAGAATTTCTTTTCGTTTTAGATATGATTAGTTCAACTTACGCAGAGAACCTCCCCACGGTATAAAACAGCCAATCACTCAAGACCTTTTCGACCCACAGCCATATTACTCATAACTTCCTCTTAGATTAAAAATAGCCTACTATATTTAAGTCGTATCTGACACAACAGAGTTCACCAGCTGCAGAGATGATGCTTTGTCTCTACTTCCTGCTGCTCGCTGCATGCTTCTCTATCAGCTATACAGGTAAGAAGATCTATTTTTAACAGGTTTCTATTAAAATATTCATACAGTACATTTCGAGTTCTGGCTTTTTTTCTTGTTTTCATATATCAATCAGAGCAGATTGGGCTCTGGTTTCAGACAGAGGGTGAACAGAGGTGCTGCAGCACAGTATGAGAAGAATAAAGAGCTTTTTGAACATTAAAGCATGGAGACATGTCACAGCAGAGACACGTAGGCCTACTGTTATGAACCTGAAAATGAGCAGAATACGGCGTCTTTAACTGGTTATTCTTGAAGTCACTGAAAAGTTTGGGAGAATTAAGCATAGAAAACTTTTTTACTTTTTGTCTAAGGTTTGTGTTTTTATTCTTTCAATCAGTAGTTGATATTTTTTTAATAAAATCACCATGAGCAAATCATCAATCAATCAAACCATCTTATCTTGCCAATTGTCTGCTTATCATGGCTGTTGTTGTCCCGCTGAAGATAAAAAAAATATACGAGGTATAGGCTACTGTTGGATTGACAGAAAAGTCTACCACAAATGTTTAACTACTTTCTGCGTTTTGCTTTTCAGCTGTTCCTGAAAAAATAACAGTGCAGGCGGGCATGAAGGCAACACTGCACTGTCCTCATAAGAAAGGGGATGTAACATGGAGTTGGCATATGGATGGTGATGGTAAAACTCTGCCTCTTGTCACTATAGAAAATGGCAAAGTGAACATCATTGACAGGCGCTTTGGTTCCGGATCAGATAATTCACTGGTGATAGAAAATGTTACACCCGATCTTGGAAAAATGTATTTTTGTAATAAAGTCCGGATATATCTGGAAGTAATGAAGGATCCCAACATGGTGGATCCTGAAGCTGGATATAAACCAGTCACTCAGAGAAACAAGGGACTGGGTGTTGACTCAGGACAGGAGGGAACCGCTGCAGAACCAGAGAACCAACCACGATCTGACTTTTGGAAAGTACCTGTTGTCGTTGTTGGTGCTGCTTTGGTGCTTCTGGGGATCATAACCCTGAGACACTTCTCCAAAAACAGAGAAGAGAGAAACCCCAACGAGGACGAAGCTGAACCTGAGAGGATCTACGAGGAGATTAAAGATAGTGAGCATCAGCCTGGGAGGGAGCCTTATGGAAGTCCTTATTACTGGACAAGCATCAATGAAACGCCAACTACACAATACAATAATAACAAATACAACAGTGTGAAAACACCAGCAGCTGAAGGAGGCAGCAGGGAGGAGTGTGTTTATCACCTCGCCCAATTTCCACTTCACACGGGAAATTTCAGCGAATAAACTTCTGGTAAATTCAGCCTGTACATGAATCGGGTCACCACACCTCTCCAGCCGTGTGAAAAATACCCAAATACCGCTTTGTTTTCTAAGAAGGGGACTTTTTACAGAAATCTGTAGTGTCAAAATGTTTTTTTGTTTGATGCCTGAATATAAAAGATGAGAATCAACAAGCAACTCATATTTGGAAACCCCTTTTAATGTGATATGCAGATAAGCAAAGGAGTGCCACATTTGTCCTTAAAACCCATCACAGCTATCAGTTGTTTTCAGGAAGGAAGTTTAAAGAGACAGGTCCTATGTCTTTTCCTAACCACTTCCCTGAGTCTTGATGAAAAACGTGAAGAGGTTAAGGAAAGATGTAAAGGACAATTCATCAGGAAAGCTGTTTTGTGTTGTGGAATCAATGACAATAAATGAACCTTGTAATTTTTACAATTTGTTTATGTTTATTTTTTATTTTATACAGAGATATATTAAGATTGTTCTTTAAATGTGCTAATAAATTATAATCCAGTCTTCAAGAGGAGACACCTGTGCGGGCTGCAGACTTTCAACAGAAGAGGAAGAAGGGGGAAAACGATGTTGCCATGCCAACGCCTTTTGTTTACATGTTGCCGAGGACTCCAACTGTAGCTCGGCTAGTTTACAGGCTAACGGGCTAACTCCTGTCTTTAGCGTTATTTCCCCCCTTTGTTAGCCTGTACTGTATTTCACGATGGTGAGTAAACTCCTTTTAATCAGCAGTGTTGTTGTTGAGTGCAATAAGCATGTGTTAGGTTAGCATGAGCCAGATACCGGATCGTTTGGAGACTGTAAGCTAAGCTACAGGTCAGATAACTGTTAGCGTGTTTTAGACATGGAGCTGAAATGTGCATGTGATTTCTTTACAGCCCCCAAAGACTAAAAGCAAAAAGGTCGTGAAGGCGAAGTCCTCGGCCGTAGTGGACGGTCTTTCCACGGATGAAATGTCTAAAGATCAGGTGAGAGCTGCGATGCTACTACAGCTTACACAGCTAACACAGATAACTAGCATTAGCCTCAAAGCTATACTATAACACTGTGTTATCGTTTTTACTAGCATCACATTGTATTTGAGGTTCAGAGACATGTTTTGTTGTTAATATTTGATATAAACACTGACTGTGGGGTTGAAGTGCTGACAATTTTATTTGAGGGTATTTATATCTTCATCACACTACATTTAATTGATTATGCTATTCCTTGCATTGCACACTTAATGTTGATAATATCCTACTTTAACATGTTGTAAACTGTAATTAGCCCTTCATGGTTTACAGATTATTATATTTCTCTGTCAATATGTATATGTATATATTTTAACACTTCAGTTCTGTTTTATTTTATATTTGTTTATTTTGTACTCTTTTTCATTTTCACATTATTTGCAATGCCTTGCTCACACACTGCTGTGCGTGTGTAAGACATATTCAGATCCTTTATTTGAATTAAAGTGCTAATGCCTCACTGGAAAATACTCCACTACAAGAAAAAGTATTATAACAAAATGTACAAGTATGAAAACAAATTAAAGTTAGAAACTGTGTAGTCAAATTCTCCCTTTTCTTAAATCTTATGTTGGATACCGAATATATAACACATAAGGAAGAGATGGGGAGCAAACAGTTGGCACAGTTGTTTCAACAGAGTAATAGAGAGTATCAGGTAATAGTGGCTGCACTGTATACCTACATGAACATGATCTCACTGCATACAGCGCCACTCCATGGTGAAGCATGAATGCTTTCCAACTCCTCTCCAAAGCTTCCTGCCAGAACAAATCAATACGGCTCCTCTCATATTGATTGTATCATATATACCATTAATACAATCAATATGATCTAAAACCAATATATCAATATTCCAATGACGTTATAGACTATTCTGCACTATTTCTACTATATTCTATTTTATTTTATTTACTTGTACTATTGTATCTGTTTTATTGTGTTGCAATGTTGGAGGAGCCTGTGACCTAAGATTTTCATTGTCATAACTACACTGTAGCCATGTACACATGACCATAAAAGCCTTGAATCCTTGAATCCTTGAACATGGCGCCAAAGATATTTTCTTTAAAAAAAAAGAAAAAGTTTAAAACAAATGTATTTTTTAGTTTATTGTAGCCTCTGTTATCACTGTGCAGCCTGATTATGAGGAAACAAAATGACCAATTATTTGCCAAATCTAAAAATCAGGTTGAAATCTGCTGGAGCACAACAAAAAACATGCTTGGCACACGGTAACTTTCTGCCTTATTTAACTAAAGGAAAACAAACATGGCTTTGAGTAGGCCTGTACAGGAGCATGTATTGTCCAGCTCTTTACACACATCTTCTGTCCAGCTGGAGGAGCACATCATTCGCCTGCGAGAGGAGCTGGACAGAGAGCGGGAGGAGAGGAGCTACTTCCAGCTGGAGAGGGACAAGATCCAGGCATTCTGGGAAATCTCCAAGAGGAGCCTGGAGGAGACGAATGCCGAGCTGAGGAACAGGCAGAGGGAGAGGGAGGAGGCGGAGGAGCGCCACCGGGTGGAGATCACTGTGAGCCACACACACACACACACACACACACACACACACACACACACACACACACACACACACACACACACACACACACACACACACACACAGGATTAGAGAAAACAAAACAAAGGGGACATTTAAAGACTATAAGAACCTTTATTGAATTGAGTTGAATACACAAATGAATATATCGATTTTTAGTTTTATACTTTCAATTTACCAGTAATACTATTATCTGCTCAAATCTTCACACAGAATATTGTCTTTTATATTCAACCACTATTTTTACTGCGACTTCAGAAATATTCTTTCAAGCATTCTTTATTTGTATGGGGCATCATGTACTGTTGAATTCTGACATTATAATAAATATTTGATTTGATCAAGTGATTACAAAAAAATATATATATATTAACTATTAACATAACTTTTTTATTGAAGAAATGACAGATCATGCTCACACCATCACTATATGATTTAACTGATTCATTTGAGTCCTTTTTTCATAAATCACAGTTGATGGGTTGATCAATATATGAACTCCTTGCTGGTGTTCAGGTGTACAAGCAGAAGCTGAAGCACGTCCTGTCTGAGCAACACAACACCGTCTCTGGGCTGAAGATCGACGGCGTCTCCTCGAGCGGACTCATCCGGCTGCAGAACGCTGAGAAGGAGCTCGGGCTGAGGACAGAAACGCACGGCCTGCAGGGGGACTTCAGGGAGAAGAAGCTCCACAACGAGAACTGCATCAAGGAGCTCAAACTGGTGAGACTAGGGACATTTTTACAAGGCAAGGCAAGTTTATTTATATAGCACCTTTCAACACAAGGCGATTCAAAGTGCTTTGCAAACATGAAAGACATTAAGAGCATTAAGAAACATATTATAAAATGGTCACATGTTTATTTGAATTTGTTCCTGTATTTATTTTATTTACATATCATTTTTGGTTGGGTATTATTTTCTTTTATATTTAATTTTTAACTTATATTGAATTTATATAAAAATTATAGTTATTTTTAGCACCTGTTTCGGATTTGTAAGCATACCTGTCTGTATCGACTACCCAGGGAAAGGTCAGAGAATTTAAATGAATGTCTGTATGTATGTATACTTTGCCAAGACTTGGAAGGAAAGGGGTTGTGTGTGTGTGTGTGTGTGTGTGTGTGTGTGTGTGTGTGTGTGTGTGTGTGTGTGTGTGTGTGTGTGTGTGTGTGTGTGTGTGTGTGTGTGTGTGTGTGTGTGAGCAATAACGTGTAGATTTGAGTGGACTGTGAACTGAGGCAGGTGTGATTTCTATGTACATCTCCATGTATGTTATATACAGGGTTCTTACTGTCATTGAAAACCTGGAAAAGTCATGGAAATTCAAAATGTAAATTCCAGGCCCTGGAAAAGTTATGAAAATGTAACTAAAGTTGCATCAAATATAATTTATATTTTATCTAATCGCCGAAATAGTAATACTATAATGATAATACATATTGTAGTAATGAAACGTAAAATGGCATTTAACCGTCACAGTATTTAGCTGATTAGAAATGTTTACAATCACGCCCTCTAGTCTACAGTGGCTTCAGCCTGTAGGAGCTAGTAAGCCTACTATTTGATCTACGTTATTTGTTTTAGATAGGCACAACATGTTTCATATGCAGACCTTATTTTCCTGTTCCATGTTAAAATAAACCATTTTCAGTGGTAGCGCTGAGAAAGAGTCATTTCTTTGGTCATGGAGAATTAGGTAAAGGTCATGGAGAAGTCATGGAGAAGTCATGGAGAAGTCATGGAGAAGTCATGGAGAAGTCATGGAGAAGTCATGGAGAAGTCATGGAGAAGTCATGGAGAAGTCATGGAGAAGTCATTGGTGAAAAAGTGTATTTTACTGTGTTTTGTTTATTTCTACGAGTGAGCATCTCTGTTGCCTTTTGCTTCTCAACAGAAACACCAGGTGGAGTTGATGGAGCTGACAAACACCTTCGACAAAAGATTCAGAGGTAAACAAACTACATTTCTGACTTTAATTAAAAAAACAACCTTTATAAACTGTATTAAACATTTCCTTCTGTTGCTATTTAAATAGATATTGAGGTGAAATACCACAAGAAAACCGAGGCGATGATCCAAGCGGAGGGTAAGAGGCGGCGTGCGGAGGTTTTAGAGGTGGAGGACCGGATGAATGGTCGTGTTGTGGCTCTGATGGAGGACCAGGAGCGAGCTCTCAGAGGAGCAGAGGAGTACTACTCTGCTGTTCAGAGCAAACTGATGGGGGATCAGAAGCTGCTGAAGGTAAGAGACGTTACTTCAGAATACGTATTTTTACAGGATCTAATGCCATGAATGTGAAGTGGTGGAGGGTTCACAGAATTCAATTATTGTTCTACCTACAAAATAAAACGTGCTAATGCTTTTGCCAAATATTTTGTTGAGCCAAATTTAAATTATTTTTTTAAGGATTGTTTGTATTTTAATTGTTTCACAAAGCTCTTACAAATGTATACAGTACATGTTCTTTCTAGAGTAGCAATTCATTATTTCTATTTTTATATATTCTATATATATATCAGGGTGTCCATGGGGTCTTAAAAAGTATTAAAAGTTGATCAATCAATTTAGCGAAAATTAAGGCTATTAAAAAGTATTAAACGGCATTTAAGGAAGGACAATCAATACTGTATATAGTAAATGTGAGGTAAAGTGTGTCGCCAAGGTAACCGGTTAGAACTCGAAGTGGCGATGAGGTCTTAAAATGTATGGAAAGGGTCTTAAAAAAGGTCTTAAAAGGGATTACACTTGACTTCAGGATTCCTGCTTATACCCTAATATATACTTTTATTACAGAAAAATTGGTGAATTTGTGCACACTTTTATTGAATTTATTTTAACCACTTTAGTCTATTTAAGCCAATCAGTGCCTTAGAACATATTTCTCCATATTTAAATAAAATTGGTTTAAAAAAATGGTTTCTTGTAGAAAAAAATTCCTGAAGCTACACACAACAATTTGATACAAACAAATAATCAAATAAAAATGTATTTAGGTTGGGATATTAAGCAATTTGTAACATATCAAATGATGTTCAAGAACTCGGTGTCTCTTGTTTTCTGCACCACATGGTTTGTTGTTCTGTAGGAGGAACTTGCGGAGGTGACGAAGCTTCAGGTTCGATCCGACAAAGACCTCTCCTCAGCGCAGCAGGAGAACAGGAAGCTGAGCGACGCTCTGCAGGAAGCCCAGCAGACGCTGCCCGCTCTGCACCGACAGCTGCAGGAGGACCAGCAGGCCAAGAACAAGATGGTGGTGCGTTCACAGCTCAGAAAGCATCAAGACACATTGCACACCTCTCTTATCTTAGGTACATACATGTTGAATGTAAGGCGGTGCTCATTCAGTGTTGGTACGTATTTTGAGAAAATGAAAATGACTTGGATATGTATTGCATTTTATACATTTGTCCATCAGTTTCCACATCAACAGGTTCAATTTAAAGACACAAGGATAGGGCGACATTGTTTTCATTTTAACACTAGGGGTCACTATTAGGCAGAATGTTTTAATCCTACATATGAATTGGATTTATCATGAGACACTTGTTTGGAAGAGAAAATAGCTATTTACGGATGAGGATTAGGGCCAAATGTACAAAAAACTAAATTGAGATCTGACCAAAAGTTAGTTAAATTCTGGGATTTGAGTCAGAATTATGATTTGAAAAAACAGACTCTTTTTTTTACCTTTGAGTTTTGTTGTTTTAGCTGTATGGGTATTTCCGTGTAATTACACTAGGAGCAACACAGACTGGAGTCATTTTCCTTGTATTTGGACCCATACTTGGCCAATAAAGCTGATTCTTGTTCTGTGTCTGCCAGGCGAGTCGAGCTCGAGTGAAGCTCATGGATCAGGAGCTCAGAGATCTGACCGTGGAGCACGAGCTGCTGCTGCAGGCCTTCGAAAAGGTAAACATCACATGATCTACCTTCATCCCCAGAGGTGGGAAGTAGTGGAGTACAAATACTTAGTTACTGTACTTAAGTACATTTTTCTGGTATCAGTACTTTACTCCACTACTTATTTTTCTGAATACTTCTTACATGTTGAACACAAATACCTGTACTTTCTACTTCTTACATGTTGAACACAAATACCTGTACTTTCTACTTCTTACATTTTGAACCCAAATACCTGTACTTTCTACTTCTTACATTTTCCAAACAGGCTGTTTCCTTTAGTTTGAATGTGTGTTTGGTGGCGTGATCATTATTATTTAGAGTCATTGCGTGCCTATTGATTTGAACACGATCCGTGTATCCATCATTTCCTGGTCTTCTCTAAAGAAGAGGGACCAATGAAAACATTGTCATGTTGCCGTTGTTCAGCATGGAAACATTCATTAGCTAACAATGACATTATTGTTCTATTAATATAAAGGGAGGTCAGGTACTCTTTAAAGCAGCTGCTAGTTATGGGTACTTTTTACTGAAGTACATTTCG